TTGATAAGTAACTTCATAACCAGTGATTTGTCCGTATGGATTCTGCGGCTGTCTCCAGGATAATTGTAACGCATCTGGCGATTGAGGGTAAATCCGCAAATCCGAGACAGGACCAGGTGCTGTAATATATCAGGAAACATTTTTTAGAATATTTTAGTGTTGATAAAACAAGTCCTTGTATTTTTGATTAAGCGGAGGGATAGCGAAAGTGGAGAAAACTAACCAGTTTAAAAAACTAGTCAAAAGAAAAAAGCTAAAAAACTAAAAACTAAAAAAACTAAAAAGTAAAAAAAACTAAAAAGTAAAAAAAAAAACTAAAACTAAAACTAAAAAAAACTAAAACTAAAAAAACTAAAACCAAAAAAAAAGTAAAAACTAATCAGTTTAAAAAAAAAACTCAAAACCAATGTCTTCCACTACATATGAAAAAACGAACCGGTCCCTTCCGTTTGTGCAGTAACTGGGCGTGACCACTGCGTTTCACCGGACGGATTTGCAGCTTGTACTTCGAATGTCCACTGCGTAAACGGCTCGGAGTCGAAAACAACATGATCCTCACCACGTGTTAAATTCCTGAAGCCCTGATTTTGAGGTGTGCTATACTTCACAATATACCACAATCGATCGCAATTCCACTCTGATTCGTGCAGTGTCTGAAGAAATTTGCATAATAATGTGGACCACCCTGAAGGAAAAGCGTAGTTAAGCATGTTCTGCATAATGAGTAGTGGATAAACCAATGCATAACAAAAAGGTGACTACAGAGAAACTAAGCGGTTTTTTGCCTTGTCCTTTCTGAAGGAATTAAAATTTAAATCCTAAGAATGATCTAAAACAAAATTACATCAAATCAGCAGAGTTTGCGAAATTATTTGTATATGATCTGCAATATTAAAGAAGCAAGCATAAATCCGTTCGATCTAAAAATTTTAGAATGTTGGCCTCCTAGTTACTGTATTTCATAGGGTTATTCAAATCACACTATTCACCATGAAGATAAATCGTAACTTCATAGTTTCAAGTGCCCTTGTGGATGCACAAGGCCGATCGGATGGGCAACTGACTGCGCCCAGTTCTTGCCTTTTGGCTGCAGGTGGTTGGCCGTCTGGGGATGGGCAAGCGTTTGCGTCCTAGGCGCGCCTAATGGCTACAGGGGAAAGCTTCCGTACTGTTCCCGTTGAATATTATGTGGCCTACTCAAACAGATCTTACAATATTTCTTTTCGCCCTCCAGTTCGCTTCCTGGTACCTTGCTTTGTGGGCGCAACTGCGAATGCTGCGACATGTCCTCTTGCACACTTATTCATGCACTCACTTTTGGTAAATGCTTTGCCGCATTATACTTAACGCCCCGTAGCGTTCCTACTTGTTCAGCTTGTGGCGACGTATACTGCATTAAATTGCAAGCGGTATGGACTATAATACGTCGGTCAGGTCAAGCGTAGCTTGCGGATTAGAGTGCGAGTGCATAAGCGCAATGTCGCTAATGTGCTTTCAACAATGTGCAGTATGCGCATTTCCGCAGTCACGGACACTTGGCTTCTGATGCGTCCTTACAGATTCTTGAACTTGTGGATGACGAGCTTAGGTTGACAGATGCAGAATTCTCCTGGATATGTTTGCTTCACGGCCTTAAGGACCATTTTAAAAGTTTCCACGTGATTACTCAGGATGCGGCTTAAAGCAATAAGATTATCCCCTATTTGGGCTCATATTGGCAGTGCTTTGGCCCCTGCCGGCATGCAGGAGGAGGGGCGTCAGTTGGGATGAAGGTGGTGCATTATAGAGCCGCACGGACATCCAGGTGCATGATTACCGTTTTT